TTCTGTCTTCTTGTTATCTTGTGTGCAGTTAAACTCGACCGTCGTCTTGTGTCTCATGACAACCTTTCCCTTTCAATGCAGGGATGAACAATCAGACCGACACAGGTTTTGGCTGAAGTTTTCATTCCCTGAGGCACATTCTTAAAGATGAGTGGGCAGCTTGGATCTTTGACAAAACTAGATAGGAGCACTTCTGAATGTAGATTTCCTTTTACCTTTGGGTGTGCCTGTGTGTGTGGCACATGATCGCAACAAAGTACAATGATAATCATGGTGTCCTTAGGTAACTTTGCATTGTGCTCTGTGCACTGTTTTCAGAAAGCACAAAGGCTGCAAATGAGTGACTGTAAGACCCAGTGGTTCATTGGGCTTTTGCATTTGTTTGATCACACTGCTCTACTTCTGGCTTCCCCTCTGTGTTTTGTACTTCAAGGAAAGCCTGCCAAGCACAGGGTCAAAAAGCAAGCAACACTTGAACACATCTTGATACTGCTTTTAAGTGCCAGCATGTTTCAAAGTGTCTAAATCTAATAAAGCCACAGCATTGTCTGGAGCTGTCTTACCAAGAGATTTCTCACAGAGGCTTTAAAGGTATTAATGGTGGAATATCTTACAGTCTCAGTTCAAGAACTTAATCCTCTAAGAAATTCTCCAGCCCCACTGACATTGTAAAGGTTAACTATAAATGTTGGTCCTCTTATTCAGGGTCCATATCCTGACCTGTTCTGCTAAGCAGGGGCAGTGCTGTGTGCTTCAGGGAAGTGGGACTCTTAGTTTGATGTGTACTGCTCTGCCAGCAGAAATTTGCATCTAATATTAAACAAAGGAGTTTTCCTTCTCTTGGAACTCATTAAATGCACTTTACAGAAGCGCTTGCTTGTTCCTTTCACCTTAGTTTTCTCAGAGTTAGAAATGCATGTGAGCACTGACAGAAAGCAAATCTTTGGAAATTTTAGGCTCTTCTAGGTTCCTTTCTGATTCCTTGTGTGATGAATGCATGTTCAGACTATAAATAGGCTGTTCTATGCGTCAAATTAATCTGAAGCATTTGCAGAAGGGTCAGTAACAGAAGTATCTGTTTTTTCGCATCTGTCAGCACCGTCTCACAGGAAAATAAGTAGAGCTGCGTGTGGTCAGAGGTTGTGAAAGGCCTTTTATTATTGCTTTGAAGCACATACATCTGATAAATATAGCTTATGTCATGCTGTTGTGTGTTTGTGTGGAAATGGGAACGGAGTGGGATGCTTTTAGCAGTCTCATCAGCTGGTAGCTGTTTGTAAATGTTTCATTCACACTTCTCTACCTCAAGCAGGCCCTGTTCTAACACCCGCTGAAATCATTGGGAGGTTGGATTTTCATGAATATGGGATCAGAACATCAACATTTTCCAGCAGTTTCTTCTATCTATAGATATCAACTTTACTGGGGTAAATCATGAGGTGAAAAAAAATACAGGATCAAGCCAAATTTTTGTAGCAATGTATTCTCAGTTCTTCTCTAAGTAGCAGTGAAATGCTTTAATTAACCCATGCTATGCAACTTAAGAATGAGTGTGTGAAATTTTACTTGAACTTTTATGCTGTTAAGGTGACTTCACTTATAATATAAATTCACCTATTGAACTTTCCAGTATGGTTGGTTGATTGATCACATTGATGCTTGTGGTTATGCAGAATGTAACCTTGGCTCTTGGAAGAAGCAGGAGGAACAAACTGTTGGCATGAGGTGCTCACCTGGTGTGATGGCAAACGCTGCTGTAGGCATCTGGATGGGTCTTTGTTCACCTTACAACAGATGTTGAGTGTTTTTACTAAATGAGAAAAAGCAGGTGATGGGAGGAGCAGGAAATGGTGCTCAGTTTTGTGGTTTCCCTCAGCTCAACTGATGTATGGTAAAAGTAGGACCACCAGCTTTCAAAAACCTCTGAGGGCAGGCTGAGGTGATGTTACAGGTGGAAAAATGAGCTTGTATGTGACAAACAGTGTCTTGTGACAAGTTGGGAGCTAGAGACGTGAAAGGAAGTGTATTAATCTTCATTTGCATTGTGTAACTGCCAGGGGATTTACAGATGGGGAGAATTGGGACTACTTTAGATTCTGTGTTCCTCTTTGTGCTTCCTCTCTGTGCTCATGCTTTCTGGCTGTAACCCTGTTCTGTCGGTGCTGACCTGTGATGCAGCAAAGCCTGTGACAGGGTTTTTTTAGAGGAGCCTGCAGACAGCATTCAGCTTTCATCAGTGTAGCAATACAGTCTTCTGTTCCATGGGACTGTGCTGAAGACATTGCTCCACTCTGAAAATGGCCATATCGTGACATGATGCAGTGACTGCTAGCATCATATTTCAGTGAGTCAGGTTTCAACTTGTGGTTTGGTAAAGGTAGGCTGTTCCTAACCAGAATCATGGGCCAAACCAAGTGTGCAGACTGGGAATGCCTGGTGGGTGTATAAGGAAAGTGCTTGAAAGTCAGATGTATCATGCTGGCTTTTGGTTGGAATAGAGTCTTCCGAGGATGGTGTCGTCTTTCTGACTTGTGATGAAAATAGTGGGGCTTTTTCACCTCAGTCTTCCTTTTTTTTTTAATTTTTTTTTTTCTTTCTTTCTTCCCCAATGTATCAATCTATTTTTTGCTCAGCCAGTGAGTTTTCCAACTTGCCCTTCCAATTCTGCTTTGCCATTCCACTGGAGAAGTTAGTAAGTGGCTGTGTGTGCACTTAAACCAGAGCATGAGCCGATTGCTTTTTCCATCTCCAGAGGTATGTGCCTGAGATAATTCCTCCTTTGGACTCTGACTATCACTGCAGCCCTGCCTGAGGAGTAATAGCACATAGAGAACAACAGGAATTGGCTGTAAGAGGCCACAGCATCTAGATAATAACCTTTGAAAATACCACAGTCTTCTAATTGCTGATATTTCTCTTATTCTGACATTGTGACTCTCAATCTCATGGAATGAGAATTTCTAACAGATGAGTTTCTCCTGCTACCATCACCCATTTACCACTTTGTATCTGAAAGTTTACAATCGACCATCGATTTTGTGAGGTTTTTGTTCAGTTCGGTTTTCAGCAAGAGCTTCCCAGCTCTTGGTGAGAAAAAAAAATCGGTGTGCATTGAGCAAATCATGCTTTCCCCTTTCCTTGCTCCTGCCTAACTCGTGACAGACTTTTCCAGCTCTTCAATGCTGCTTCATCTGTGTTTTGCTTGGAGCAGTGGTAGCATTTCTTCTCCTCACACTGCCTACAAGCTTGTGCAAATTTGTGACTTTCACTTCTCCTGTTGTATGAAAGGACAGGGACTTCTCTGCTCTCGCACCCCTGTCCAACAGTTCCCATTCTGCAAGCAAATCTCCAGCAGAGGAAAAGCCAAATCTTCTGGTGTTAGCACCCTTCATACATTTAGAAAAACAAACTTGGGGAAGGGTCTGATTAGTGTATCTTCTGTCTTTTCTTTCATTGAGTATTTCTGTATGGTTGACTTTACAGTTACCTTGACATCCTTGGGACTGGGGCCAAAATGGAATGAATCAGAAAATACTGGCAACATGCATAATGGGCTCCTTGTCAAGTCATTTTCTGCTGAACTCAGCAGAACCTGAGCATGCCAGACAACTGGGGTCTAAATGGGAAGGAAATTGCTAGTACAGATGTTTAATGTGTGGTTGCAGATAGAAGCCTCCTCCCTTTTGTGTAATTCAGACCATAAAGGATACTGAGGATGCACATCATCCAAGAGCATCTCACTCTTGAGTGAAGCTGGACTCAGGAAGTACAGGGATAGAATGATGGGGGAAGTTCTAATTGCACCATTTTTATTTGAATAAAGCCTATTGATCCAGGGAAAAGCATGCCCAAAACCTCAAGAGGAAAAGCAGAGCTGGCTGTAAATAATTGAGAGCATTCAACACTTTATTTTTTCTCTTCAAGTAATGGGGCCAAATTCATTTCTGATCTGACTCCAATGGCTTGAACAGAATTAAACCATTACTGTCATTTATTATTTGTGTGTTTGGCACTGTATGAGACACGCCACGAATGAGTGCAGTCCATTATATTTGTGGACATAAGTTCTCTCTTTGGATTCAAGTGCCTGACGTTAATCACTGGCTGCAATATCAGGTACAGACTAATGCTTTGAGAATCCTGGGATATAACCTTGTCATGTTCTTAGGGCTGCATAGAAGTGCAGAATTTCAAAAGACCTCAGTTTGCTGTTGTCTACCATAACTGAAAATTCTTTCAATGGTCCTCTGACTCTGCAAAGGCATTTTTGGAGCAAGTTTTTGTTCAACAGAGGATATCTTAGCTATCTGTTCATTTAGCAAGCCACTCTGCAGCAAGTCAGCATACACTGTTGGCCAAAGGGCATTGGTGTCTGCTTTCCCCTTCCTTCCCTTATGCCCCCTAATGAATAAAGAGAATGTAGAAGTTCTTGATATTGTGAAAGAGCATGTCTGCCTTTGATAAAAGACTTGCTGCAGTCTGCAAATCTGATACCATCTAGTGCAGTCCTCTGCAGTACATTAAATGCCAGCAGAAACTTCACAGCAGAGGAGCCCACGTGTCCCCTTTGCAGGGGGCTCCATTTTATATGTCCTTAGGCAGATGCTATTTGGCTCAGCAGCTGAGCTTCCTTGGCTCATCAAGAAAAGCAGCAGAACGTATATTATGAATTTATGATTCCTTTCTTCCTATGCCCAGAATGTTTATGAATATGGAAAATAACTGTCCTCCAGTTTCCAGCATTATATGTCTTTCCACAGAGATCATCCCTAGCCAAAGGCCTTGGCATCCAAACAAGTTGCTTTGTGACAGAGATCATCTCTGTGCGACCATTTGAAAGTTCAGATTCATAGAAAGATTGCAGAATTCTGAACGTTCACAAAAACCGAGGGTCACCATGCAGACTGTTTGACACCAACCCCGAAAGGAGGCAGGTCTACGTGCTTTTCCACACATTTAGTGTACGCTAACCATGTTTTTCTGGGCTTTTGTTTCTACAGCCAAAACACCCCAATCCTGACTGGCGCTACTCTGCGTCCCTAAGGGCAGGAATGCAAAGGTAGGTTGTGTGCTGCCCCAGGCACAGGGCATTCTGTCCTTGGCCTCTCTGACAAAGACCAACCTGTCCCCCTTCTCTGATGCCTCCAACTGATCATATCTGTAAGCTGAGATGGGAAGAAGATTCTGCTACTGTCACTTTGAATCTCTAAGTTTGACAAATTTGGGCTGACTGCATCTTTTGCTATTACTGTACCACCATCGATCTCTGCTTTTGTCGTATTTGCTCTCTGCCTTTTTTATGTTGCTGTCAAGGTATCAGATATTCCAATTATTGAGTTATTTAATTGCAATTATACACTTTTTGTTTTCCTTCAAGCTCCCTCATATCTTCAATGCTGATAGGTTTTAGTAGATCATATGGCATTGGTGCATTTTCCATCTAGCTGCCTCTTGTTGCCATAAGTATGCTACTCCTGCAGCCAGTCTGAAAGCCATGCGGTACAAACAAGGTGCTAAACACAGTTTAAAGCATGTTCTAAAGATATATATGGTAGTTGTTGAGTCATGGCTGAACCACTGATTGAGCACCTGAGGAAAGGACCCAGTCAGCCCTAGGAGCACAGGTGAAGGCAATTCAGCTGTGTGACCAGAAGGGGTGGAGCCTGGCTGCACCTCTCTTAGACCTCATTGAAGGGCTGACTGCCCCTGGGGAAGGATCTCTTCTGGCGATCTCTTCTTAGTGAAGTTTTTCCCCTATGGACCTGGACTCTTTTGATATGGGTGAGCAATCTTCCATTCCTTTATAGCACCTCTATTTTGTGCCAGTCCTTTTGTTGTCCCGCCTTTGTTGTAACACCTTTTTTTATTGATGTGTCCTATTGCTATAAGATGTGAGGCAGTTTTCATATAAGGCAATGTGAGGCTGCCTCCAAATCTCTTTCAACTGAAGATTCCCTCCATAAAACCATGAGCAGACTCTGCTGTAATTTACTACTCAGTGCATCTGGAAAGGATTATAATAAAGCTTTTTTTATGGAGCCTAGATGAAATGATATCTTCGCTTCCCTTTTCTGAGCAGAGTAGCAAACTGGTGCAATGTGATTAATGACACTACCATGCAGGTTTAGATGGAACTGTAATGTTGTGGTAATTTCTAAGATAATACAAGTGCAGGAATTTATGCTTTTTTTTCCAAAAACTGCTCATGCAGTGTGGCCATGGCCATCATTTTTTATCTGTTATCCATGGTGTTGTGGTCTTTTTAAGGTAAAAGTCAAAAATTCAGATTCAGAATGTCCATTTCTGGGACTTCCACGCTATCATGTTATTCAGGACACAGTTGAATCTGAATTCCTTTCTATTTGGAGTTGAAGATTTTGTCTAAAGTTACTTAAAGAACAAATGAGGAGTCAGAGCTCGTTTAAAGCAATTAGTCCCATGTGCGGAAGAGTTAATGAAGCCTTTCTCGGAAATGGTGCATTCCTCTGTTCTCTCCCATCAGCAGCCTTAGTCCTTCCCTGAAATCTCTGGACAGGTTTACGTGACCTCTCCAGCAGAGGATTTTCATAAAATGCTGTTTTATTTATAAGACGTGTAGAAATGTGATGTTCGTACGACCTTTGGCATTTGTTGCATTTAGTGGAAAATGCCCATTAAGTTGGTAGTGTGGAAAGGAGCTGAGGGGCGGATGAGCAGAGACAGCGGCACGGTCACAGCATCCTGTTTTTCTAATGGATGGCACATAAATGAAGGAGCATAGATTTGCATTCAGTACAGCAGATTTTTTTTTCACTTTCTTCCATGTTGGTTGATATACAGCAGTGGTGCTTTCTCAGCCAAGTGCTCACCATGTAACATCATGTTTGATGTGATGCAGTTTCTGCGTTTTCAGGTGTATTTCTGAATTGTTCACTGGAGTAGCATATTTACAGAGGCTCAGCGGTAACTCAGCCAACCTTTCATTATTTGCTTTAATGTTAATACATCGTAACAGCAAGAATCTTTGCAAGCTTCCTTGTCAGCGGCTTCCAGTCGATGAAAGCAAAGTGTTCTGGAGTTAGTTATGTTTGTTTTATAAATTCTATCACAACTGTGTTTTACTAAATAATCAAAGCTTGTTTGTAGCAAATGAGAATAGCTGATTCTCCAGTGTTCCAGCAGGAATTTGTTAGCTTGAAACAGTACAACAGCAGTGTTTGCATGGTGACCAGTTCAGACCTTTGAAGAGTAGCAAGGGGAATATTATGAAGCCAGAGGATAACTGTATAATCTAATCATGCTGTGTGCTTGTTCAGTGCTGTGCATCTGGAGGAGGCAGGAATCTTACGTGGAGGACCAGGAGGGCCTGACCAGCAGTGGCCAACAGTCTCCAGTGCTACTCCAGGTAAGGGTGTGAAGTATATGTGAATTATATGTAAGGAACAGTTAGAATGTACCCTTCATTTCCTGCCTGTTTTCATTGACTAGTGCGTGGTGATGGAAACTAAATTACAATTTTATTGTCAAAATAAATGACCAAAAATGCTTATTAGGTTATAATTCCTTTTATTCAGCCATTGATCGATGACTTCACAGCAGTCAATAAGAACTGGTAAAAAGTCTACAGTGAGTTAAGGAAAAAAAAAAAAGTCCAAGTCACTTGCAGGCAATGAACTATCCTTATTTTTTGTGTTAGAACAGCAATAATGTAGAGATGTGCTTGACTAGAGCAGCCAGTCAGTGGTGTGATCAGTGCATTCAGTCACATTCAAAATGAGCCTTTTAGGGGGTGCCCTGTGTAGGGTCATGAGCCTTTTAGGACAGCTCTGTGAATCCTCCAGGTGTTCCAGTGAGGAATGATGCTTTCCATCACGAGCTAGATCAAGTGACCAGATGTGGGGTCTCCAGCAGAAAAGATATCAGAGATGTTTTTTCTTGCTATTACTTCTCAATTCAAAACTTTCCATTAGCTTACATGTGAATTTTACCTGGCCGAAGGACCAAGGAGCAGCTTTGGGATTTGCATTCACAGCTAAAACATACCCATGGATTAATGTTGTGCAGCAAAACCTGTATGGCTATTACAGAAGGCAATCTGCAAAAACAGATTTAGAAACAAGATACAATGGGCTCCTTGGCTGTAATTACCTGGTTATCCTGTGCTCTTCCTTCTGTTGCAGGCTTTGCAGGAAGATGCAGTTTGTGCATGTTATGCAGGGTGTGAAACTATTGTCAGTGTATTTGAAAATGCCACCGCAAGTACACTGTAACCTTTGCAGAGGGTTTCCTAAGGCATTCAGCTGCGCTGCTCATCCTTCACTGTGCACTTAGCATGTTAACTTATTCCAAACTCAGTATGGATGCAAAAATCCACTCAGATGTTTGCTTGCTGGTAATGCAGATTTCTAACTTGGATTTTTCTGAACATAAATGCAGAATTAGGGTGATCCCCAGACATCTGGGGATGCCTGTTGGCATTTGGGTTGCAGAGTGCAGTTCCACTGACTGGACTCCCCGCTGGGGTCGTATAATTTTAGACTCATTTGGGGAATCTGAATGTCTCTTGGTCTCAGGAGCAGCACCAACCTTTGTCTCCTAGTGCTCTTTGCCTTCATCACCACGTGTCTGCTGCAAAAGCATCTGGTTACGTGTGGGTTGCTCACTGCTCTGTATGAGTTGGCGGCTGTGAAGAATGGACCAAGCTGTCAGACAAGGGGAGAAACTGGCAGGTGGCTCTGTGGGACTGGGTCACTGGAGAAATGCCAGTCCAGGAGCCAAGGCTGTTTGGCCTTTGGACTGGCATCATCCATCATTGTTTCTGTGTATTTTATTTCTAAGTAATACGTCCAAACAAGTTGTAAGGAATATCCTCTGCCTGGGAAAATACTGCTGCCATGCAGAGAAGACATGACTAATTAAAATGGTAGTATGGAATATCCATGCAAGTTACAGCTACTTTTAAATCCAGTTTTTGTGAATAAGGCTTCTTGTAAAATACTTTATTTTCCTGCACAACAAAGACTTCTTTTGTCTTTTCCCAAGGGTATGTTGACCCTGACATAACATTATTAGCCCTCTTATAGCAGATTTTGGGTAGTATTATTCTCCGCTCTTTGCATGCAAAACTACAGGTGACTGCAAACAGCTGATAGGAAAACCTCAGGATTAGTGAAAATTAAGTTATTCATACTCTGAGTACAATATCAAGCATCACATTTTTGGTAGGTTAAGTTTGAGACTTTCAGTATTTTTTACCAAGTTAACATTCACAACTGATGCAGATAAGCAACTCATTATGGTACATTACAGTTGATTGAGCCAACAAGGGCATTTGCTCCTGAAACATCATCTGCATATGAATGGAGTGCACCTGTGTCTGGATAGGCTGCTAGATGAGCTGTTGGTTGTCTCCCTGATCATCGGCATATTATGGCAGCTTCAAGTTTTTGACTTCTGATTTAATAAACCACTTCCTAGCCTGTTCTGTGTGTACATGCTCCATGTAGTGTTTTTAGTCGATTAATCCCAATCAGTTTGTCACTAAACTGTTCATTCAATTAAACAATCCACAGTAGTAATGGATAAGATGCGTTATGGAGACAGATTCAGAAAGGTAATCAATGAGAGCATTTGAAGGTGATGTCATAGCAATGCTTTAAGAAGAATGAACACGACAAGTGCTAAATCACTAAAGCTTTAATTCCTAATGCATTGCTGTGCTCAAACATCATGTGATCTTTAATCAAATCTACGTTGTCCAAGCAAGGCCTGGTCTGCATTTGACAGCACTTTTACTGGCTTTATGGCATATTTCACCCATATAAGGAAGATCAAATCCTGATTTGGTACATTTTAATTGCCTACATTTTCTTATGCACCAATCCAATAGTTTGTAGTCTTGTGGTCAGGATCCTTCCAAATGAAGTAGGATGAGAAGGTTCCAATTCCCCCTGGGTAGAGGATAATGTTTGGCTTAGCTCCCTGCAGCATCTCATTTGTCCCCCATATGCCACACAGCAAGACTGGGAGCTACAGACAGGTTTCGGGTTCCTGCTCTGTGCTCTGAGTCCTTTGAATTAGCAGTTGGATCGCTCTTCCTTCAGGCAGTCACTGATGAGAGTTGATTTCATTTTCTGGGTGTCTAATTCAGAATAACTGGAGCCTGGTTTCTGAAAATGGTGGAAGCTTGTAATCAAAGAGGTAAACGGGAGCTTTGTTCTCAAGATATAATACTGCAGACATCTAAGAAAGTCAGACCTATCCATAATCAGAGCTCAAACTCGGTGGGCATTGAACATGTCTGTGTGTATTTCTACATGCTCCAGATTCTATTGTATAAACTAGAGCTGGTAATGTGAGTTGCTTCGCAAACAACATTCTAAAGATGCATTCTCAGCACACACAGGGCCCAGGAGAATTATAAGTTTTTGCAATGCAAAACAACCGTGAGGAATTTAAAATTCTCTGTTCTAGCAGGGCTTTATGTATGTGCAATAAATAAGGTGCAGGGCCACATACCGCACGTGCAGGGTGGAAAAAAAAAATGAATTTAGAGAATGGTGTGAGCAAAATGAAAAGCCTTCATGGGAGAAAGGAAAGGAGAAAATCTGAAATTTGTAGAATGGAGCTGAATGAAAGCTGTAACCTATCTGAATCTTACTGGAATTTCTGAAGTCCATGGCAAACTGCCCACTGACTTCAAGGAAGCTAGGATTTTAGTGTCTGTCCTTAGGAGCACGTGCAAAAGGCTGAATTAAGTGACATAAGCAAGAGTACGCTTAAGGTGTATTAATTTATGTGCTTCTGATTTGGCAATGGCAACGTTCTAATGGCTGTCATTCTTATTTTGTTTCCCCATGTAATCTAAGTGGTAGCCTCGTTTCTTAAAGCACTCTTACAAAAAGAAAAAGACATTATTGTGTGAGATTCTATGACCTCAACGTGGGCAGTCTTCCATGCTTGGCACTCATAGTGCATACGTTTGTCCCTTGAAACTTCCAGTAGTACTCGCTGCTGTTCCCTCAGAGAAGTGATGAGGAAGGTGGGACAGGTTGGCAGTGGGTTTCAAGGCAACTTAGTAAGTACTGTAACCAAGAAAACCAAAGTTCAGGTCTGGCTCTGGAGAGTACTGTGTACTACATACATATGTATGCATATATATGTGTATAATGTATCTACATATTGCTCCTTGTGTGCCATCAGTGCAAGCCTCACTCTTTCAACGTTTGTCCTCTGCAGTTTCTCTCAGTTTTCCTCTCTCTGTTTGTTGGATCATCTCCTCACGTTCCTTACCTCCTGCCTGGCTCTATTTCCACTTCTTCCATGCTGTGCCCGTGTACCAAGGGACTCTGTGTGCTCTTAGGTTTTGTGCTGGGAGCTGCAGTTGCTCTGGAATAGATTTCTGTTTCTCTCAAAGGGTTGTTCCAGCTGGAATGCAGCCGAAATCTGTGGATGGAGTATGTGCTGTAGAGTAAGTGATGAATACTTGCAATTGAATGAGAAGCAATTACAAATATGGCAGAAAAGAAAATAATCTGAAAGGTAAAGTTAGACTTCCTAGTTAGTTTTATACTGCTGGTTTAGGGTGGAGAATAGTGCTGTAGAGGAGAGGCTGCAGAAAAGGTGTTAGAGGAAAGCAGATGCTGAGATCTTATTCCTAGAAATAATGGCCAAGAGCAGAGTGAATACCTTGATGGGAGGAGGAAATACTACAGCTCTTTAGTGTAAGCTGTGGCATACATGATTCTGTGTTTTGCAGTTTAACTGGCGTGCCAAGGGAATGACTTGTAGTTGAAGAAGAACATTCTTTCAGAAGGAATGCTATGGGAAGGGCTCGTATGAGTGTAGGGGCAGTGTTTGTAGGCAGGGGAGGTTTGAGAAGGGTAAGGGGATGGACTAGGAGGAAATAACAGGAGAGAAATGAGAGTAGGAAGGCAAGTGCAGAGGATCAAGGGAAGGGAAAAAATGGAAAAGGATGCTAGAGATTCTGCAGGAGCAGATAGCATTACGGATTGGACAAGGCAGACTCTTTAGAGAGTACTGAGAATAGGTGACTGGAAAGAAGATTGGTGCACTCAGATTGGGTAATAGGTTCTGGTGAAGGGGGCTTTCTGAACACAGGTTCATTCTTCTTTTCATGGAATAATTACTTATCTCTCTGCATCTTAACATCACTGCTGTAACACTGCTTTTGAAATTCAGCAGGCATAACACTCCAGTAAAGGCTCACAGGGGGCCATGATGCTGTTGCAACACTCTTGGCTTCTGAAGTATTTTACTGAAAATTTCAGTTTAAGGAAAAAGAGCCTAATAACAACTCTGACTCCTCTGAGAACTGAGCTGTAACATATTTCATATAATAGAGCTTTACAGTGTGGTTTCAAGTGGAGTGCAATTTCTTCCTAA